TCCCACAACTATCTCCCTCTTTAGCCTTCCTTTTTCTGCCACTATTTCGCACACTTTGGACCGTGAGATATTTTGCAGTCTACACAACGCATATGCAATGAGCCTGTCAGTCATGAGAAGCTTCCAGAACACGATCAAAGTAGTGGTCACAATGCACTCGAGCTGCAACCAATGGCTATGCAGAATAAGTTGAGAAGCACTCGACAGAGGCCCAGAATAAGCAGCGAGTCGCCAGAAGCGAGACAAAGGTAGAGAAGCAGTGTAGAGAGAGGTGAGATATAGTTTCATTAAAGTCAGGAGATGGCTCTTCGGTCCCTCCTTTCCTCCGGGATCTTCTCCCACCAATTCACCACCTCAGCATGCACGTCTTCCCTGGTAGACGCTGATGAAGTCTCTCTGCGGGTACCAGCCATGGCGCCCAACCTCCAGCATCAATGCTGGCTATGGAGGTTGGCGCCTGCCTTCCTTCAGCCTCCTGATGTGACCAGCAGCTCCAGTCACCAGCACAGGGTCACACTCTCTCACTCTCTCTCCTCAGAAGTGCTGATCACCCTCTTCCTCACTCTCGCCACTCTAGATATTGTGGTGCTCTCGTTCCTCCCTGCCTCCTCGCGGACTCTCTGTAGCAGCGCACACACTGTAGCCTAGCGTGTGCACCGTAGCAGCACGAGGCTGCATGAATGGCCGCTGGGGCAGACGACTCTTTTCTGGAGTTGACGGGTCTTGGGCTGCGTTAGGCTGCGTCCCTGAACGGTGTGTTTTGTAACAACTAGATTTCTTGATCCCGGCGGGCCAGGTTTGCTGTTGGCCAATGTGTGCCCAGACCCAGTATGCCCTGGAAACTTCTGGAGCAGAACAGACAGCCTTTGATAATGCATCAGATCTGTGGCCGTGATTGACACCTGAGAAATCTCTGACTGTTGACCCACTCTCCCCTAGTTTGGGCCTGACTCCTGGTTTTCCTGGAGTCAGCTACCTCGCGTGGGTTACAGGCAGCCTCATTTGACCCTGGACCCGGTCGCTCTTGTCCCTAGGACTTTCATAGGACCCCTCTAAGACAAGAGACAACTTTGACCCCTGAATCTAGTCTTGGAGCAGAAGTTACGACCCATGGCCTATATATGTGTGCGGATTTTGAACTGAGTTCGTAGCACATAGACAACTTCCAACCCACAACTCGTGTGAACTCACCAGGGTCAACCTCGAAATGGATCTGCCTTGCCTGAAGGCGGCAGGCGGCTGGTCTGTTGCCTGGGCCTCAAGGCTAGCTGTGGTAACAGCATAGAGGTTAGGAGGTCATGGTCATATACAGCACGGAGGTGCTTTTCAGAGCACGGGCAAGGTACAGAGGCTTTGTGGAGTTCCGCAGCAGAAGAGAGGGTGGATCACACTGGGGTGTGGGTTCAGCTATGTACCTTCTTCTGAAGTAGATCCGCCATATCCAACTTCTGGAGAGGTTATCTCCACCTGTGCGTGTGCTTTAGCAGCCATAGCCACTGCTTGTGTACTTCGGTCATGCCCACTGTGACATCGGTCTACACTGCGACATTTGATGCAGCAACGGCAACTGCGAGGATTGGAGGCGGTCCTTCCACAGTCCACACCCGAAGCGGTCCTGTCTGCTCTGCGGGGATGGCCACTTACCATCGCCCACCCCTGCTCATCAACTCATTTTTTTATGGAACCCAAAGTTACCCAAACACTGTCCACATCTCAAGCATGCAGCAGGTGTATGGCCCCTTGTGCCATTCTATAGTAGTCTGCTCTGCCGGTGAGTACTGAGAACCCCATGAAGTTAGTCTTTCCTCCGTTCTATTTCTTTCTCCTGTATCTCCCTCCCCTTCCCCTTCTCCGTGACTCCGCCCTCCCTCCCCTAGTGCAGAACATCTCCCTCCCCTAGTGCAGAACATCTCCCTCCCCTCGTGTAGAACTAGTAAATGCATAAGGATGATACAAAATGAGCATCATTAAGAGAACACGCACAATATGAGGTGCAAGTGTGCTGAAAAGTAAACAGGAGCGTACGGATTGAAGCCTACCACTCCCCCTTTCCTGCCTCCTTTTCATAGCGTGCAAGTGGGCCCGTGAGGCCCACGGGAATGTGGGCAATGGAACCACGAAAAACCTGAAGTAAGGAAAGAGAAGAAAGAACTGCACGGCAAAAGGCAAAACAACAAGTTGAGTGTGCGTCATGTGGTCTGCTGTATTTTCTTCGTTTGCTTTTTAAAGTGCACTCCTTCACTTGATAAGTATGTGAGGGAGAGCTGTTCCAATTTTCGATCCACTCATCTGGGTGGAAAAGGGGTTATCATGGTGACAGTCTAAAAACACGCACACACACTCTCCACCTTGCCGGCTGAGTGGCTAGGATCAGGCTTCTGGCATACTGCGTAGCCACACGGGCCTACAGGGCCCGTCCCGTTCATTTCAGCCTGGATGCTGAAAAACGAGGGCCTGCAGGCCCTACCTCGTTTCAGCCTATTTCTGGGTCTTTTCAGACCCAGAGTTTTCAGCCTGAAACGGAGGGCCATTTTCAGGCCCTCRTTGTTTCGACCTGCCCCTAAGACTCAGGCACGGAAACAGGGATGTGGAACAGGCCCAAAATAGCCTGTTCCTCACGTGCTCGAGCAGGAGCTGCAGCYGCAGCCCCTGCCTTCCTTCGGCAGGCTCAAGATGCACACCCGTAGTACATAGGAGGTTCCCATGCACTTCACGGGTAGGTAGTCAGTAGGCGGAGGTAGTCTTCAGAATTCGGCCGCAGCACTCAGGAGGAGCGCTGCAGTAGTCTTCAGCGCTAGGCAGTAGTGGTAGCGCTAGCTGTAGTCTTCGGCGCTGGGCGCCATAGCTGTAGCTGTAGTCTTCAGCGCTGGGCGCTGGTAGGTAGTAGATCGTAGAGTGGAGAGAGACTGGCGGAGGCCAGTGTTACTTACCTGTGGCGCCATCGCTCCAGCTCCAGCTTCGTGGTACCTGCACCAAGGCGCCAACTTCACAGGTTAGTACTGGACACAGGGAGAGAGAGAGTTCTTCTTCTTCCTCTTCTAAGTCCGCCTTCTCTTCTCACCCTCTCGCCACCTGACTTCTCAGACTACGACAGAGAGAGACAGAGTTGTGACTTGAGACTTGACGACATTGGATCCAGACTTGACATTTGGGATTCAGACAGTTCGACGAGGGACTATTTGGGCTTGTGCCGAAGACTTGGTGTTGACGACATTCCCATCTTCCCCCTCCCTGGGCTGGCGCTGTCTTCCTGTGTGAAGCGCCAGACCCATTCACACTATGAAACGATGATGATGATGTATGTTCAGGGCTGCATTACAACATTGATTGTTCGGATCACTAGTATCTAAGTCTTCCGCTGTGCTATCTTATACTTTGTATTGAAAGGTCGGTTCTTGTTCTGGTCTGCACTTATACGGTATGCAACAGGCTCCTACTACCCTCTCCACCCGAATAGAACATACAGTCCTTACTGCTGTCTCTGGACTGAAAGTTGCGCAAAGTGCAGCTATAATGACCATGCATTCCATTTGGGTGAAGAGGGTAGCAGGCTATTCTTAATCTTCTTGGGACTGGTTTTGTTTTATGGTTTCTCTTGGATATGGTCTTGGCTGAGATGTCTTGTTCTTCCGTGGGACCCAAGAGATGCATGGCCGCTGTTTCTTGGATTGGAATCGAGGTGCTGTTTTTTGTTCCTGTGATGTATTGAAGATCTTCAGGGAAGCATCCCTTTTCTCTTTTTTTTTTTCAAAAGGGCGACAGCCTTTAGATATCATCATTGAATTGACCGGGATTAAGTAATTCACAATGTTTTTAATACTTTTATTTTGTTCACCTGACTTTATCTGGATTCAAACTTGGGTCTGTATTTCAACAGTTCATGGGGCATCCCTTTTCCTTTGTCTCATGGGATCTTTGTGAGGGGGAGGCCCAGATAGTGCTTCCTGTGAGCTGCTGTTTTGAAAGGCGCGTCATTAGTGCGCCAATCCTCCTCCTCCTCATCATCATCATCATCTGTCCTCTCCTCCTGTTTCTCATCCTTGTCCTCATGCTTGTCGCCTTCCTTGTTCTCGTGTCCCTGTCCTCTTGTCCTGTGATCTTCATCCATCTCATTGCCGTTGTAATCAGCATCGTCATCTTCGGTGTCGTCATGATTTTCTTCGTCATAATCATTATCACCCTTGCTGTCATCATCTATTCCCAGCATGTCTTCTTGTTGTTCTTCTTGAGTGCCTTGCATACTAATATTACTCATCAGTACGTGACCGCAGAGGGGCCGTCCATTCTCGCTTGGTCTCCTTCATGTTCTTGGCACTGTACAAGATTGATCCGAGGCCGCCGCCTCTCGCATGCATTCATTAATGCATGTGTAGCTTGTGTTTCTCCCCAACTTGCGCATGAGGATGTCAACGTGAGGGCAGACTTCTCCTCTTTTAATTCGCGTGTAGTCATTTTTTTCTTTATTATCATTGCCTGACATGTGTCATTGGTTGTGGTGAGTTGGATGCAGTTGGGGGATTCACATGTGAACAGGGCTTTGGCTTGGAGGGTCAAACACCAGTATAAAATGCAACAATTTGTTGTATGTTGGCACTGCCTTGCAACTGTACTGTTTTCCCCCGTCTCATGATACTTTCGTTATAATTGCTCGTCTTATGGTTAGAACTTAGAACTCTGAAGCTGAGATGTTCAAGCAGAGGCTGTTGGTGTCTGATGTTAAGCAAATCCTTCTCATCTTCACCCGAATAGAACGCTGGGTCATTATAGCTGGATTTGGTGCAATTTTCAGACTAGATGCAGCGATAATGACTGGGCATTCTATTCGGGTGAAGACGCTACCTTCTTCCCCCGAACATAACGCATATGCGCTGTAAACGAATTTATGACGCATAGGGTGAGTTCTATTTGAATACGACGTATATGTGTTCTATTCGAATAGCCCTAAATTTCAAATACAACGCATATGCGTTACGTTCGGGTGAAGACGCTAGTCATATCTGCAAGAGGGTTTGCAACCCTTTTGGATTAATTTTGGGCTCTCGGTGCAGACCTCGGTACACATTGAGCCATATGGTGGATGGTCCTGTGCATCATTGATGCCGGAAACATTTTACTGCCTTCTCTTTTTTCCCTTTGATGGCAGAAGTCGAACGTTCCTTCCCTGGACAGGCATGTCTTCGAAACAGATTGATGTCCTGTTATAAATCTAATCAAATTCCGGTTGTCTGTGCTCTGTGTTGACGTCTCCTCTGTTTACTACGGAATGATGCACGTGGACTGCACTGGGCTGGTGCTTGCATGCTATCACCCGCATTGCACAATTCTTTCCTGATGGATGGATGAGCACTCGCAGGCCTTCCAGAGTGTCCTGTTCAAAGAGGTGAGTTCATGACTGATAATTCAGAGGTTCGACCCTCCGCGCCTTCATCACCCCTCTCCTCCGCCTGTCTCCTGGAAATTGGATGAAGTCTCTCTTCCAGTCAACCATCAATATACCATGCTAAAAGAAATGACCCAGCATGAGGCACACCTTCTATTTTATTTTATTTTTTGAAAACGGTCCGGGCTCCTTTTCAGTCTGGGGAGCGTCAGAGCATGAGGCACACCTTATTGTCAGAAAGCTTGGAAGATTGTCTGATACCAAATGAACACAGACTTCAAGTCCACATCTCATGCAACAACGAGTCACTTCAGCACACGAGAATCGGGAACCAAAGCACAAGATAAGAGAACTCGAAAATTGCTTGGAAATCAAGTTTGTACAAGGGCTGGGCCGGCGACCGGCTGGTTGAGCCATGCCGGTCCAACCGGGGCCGGTCCGGTTGAAGGGGTTTCAACCGCAAAACTGGTTTAGCCCAAAACTTGCCCAATTTGTTTGTTTGTTTTTTTCAAATTCGGAATCCGACTGCGCTCAATGAGATCTGTTGGATTCGGCATTGAAACTTTGAAGGGTGGATTTTTTTTCGTGGGGGCTTTCTGGTGGGTTGGGGGGGGTGGATGGGGGGCAAAGGTCAATGTGGGAGGGGAAGGAGGGAGGTCGATGGGCGACGGGGCAGGTCGAACAAGAAGGGGGGAATGGGGGAGTGGGAAGGAGGTAACTAGCTTTGTGTTCTTAAGGACGGACAAAGAAGAAGAAGAAGAGGGTGACAAGAGGGAAGGCGATGGGGGGAAGGTGATGGGGTAGTCAGGAGGTCGATTAAGAAGAAGAAGAAGATGATGAAGAAGAAGAAGTAGAAGAGGGCGAAGGAAGGGAAGGCGATGGGGAAGTCAGGAGGTCGATTGCCAATGGCGGAAGAAGGGTTCTTGGCGAAAAAATGTGGCAAAAAAATAAATAAAGAAAGAATGGTGAGAGGGGAGGAGGCAAACAAGGTGTAGTCTATAGCTAAACCTTGGTGTCGAAGAGAGGGACATCTGCCAGTTCGGCTTTCTTGTGCACGAAGATTTCTTTCGGAAGAGAGTCATTTTTTTTGCACGCGACCCTGGGGTCTTCTCTCTCTCTCTCTCTCTCTCTCTCTCTCTCTCTCTCTCTCTCTCTCTCTCTCTCTCTCTCTCTCCTGTTTCCTACTGTGTTTGGGAGACTGTCAACTTTCTTTGAGTGAGTGTGAGGTCTGGGAGTGTCGGATCATTGAGTCGGCTTGGCTGGCATGAATTGGAACACAGTTGTCGGGGTTGCATACGGGTTGACCGCGGCACTTTGTCCCTGGTGCAGCGGTATCTTTGTGCATCTCGCACGTTGGATCTACGCTCGGCCAAGATGATGAAGACGAAAAAGAAGAAGCAGAAGAAGAAGAAAACAGCACACAAATTTACTCTTCCTCCCACAGCGGTGGGTTCTTTGGTGGTCTTGGGGTTGATGGTTGGCTTAGGGCATTGCCTGCAGCAGCAGGCGGGCGATGGTGCAGCTTGGCACATGGGAGCACGCCTGCAGCAGCACGCGGGTGATGGTGCTGCTTGGCACGTGGGAGTATGCCTGCAGTAGCATGCGCGAATCACGAAGCAAACATGCGAGGGTGGAGGTCGGACTGAGGGCGAAGGGGGCTTGCAAGGGTCCACAGTGCAGCATGAGGGACTCTGCATTGCAAATGCAACGAGGCGAACGATCCTGACCACCGATCTGGGAAGATCAGTGGCCAAGATCAGCTGCATTGTTTCTCTTGGAATGCTGGTTCCACTGGCCCCAGTTTTTGGAATTTATAGTGTCGGCGGCCTCCGCAAGGCTGCAGAAGCCCGCCCAGCCACTTTCCTGCCCAGTACCCCCCCCAAAGCCAAATGTGCTGGGGCGGACCGGGAGCCTACCGGGCCGGTCCGACCGGGAGGCGCCTGGTCGGGGTAGGGTCCCCTCCATCCGAGGACCAGCCCTGGTTTGTACATACACATCCACATGGCAGCCAACGACCACGGATGAATTCCCTTTCTCTCTTGACCCTCAGACCTCTCGGTCTCTCACTGACTGCCTTCTCTCTTCCTCTCTCTACGCTAGCCTAAGCTATGGTGCCCAGTCCCTGTCGACTGCTGCTACTTGCCAGCATCGCTTTCCTCTTATTCATCACTCGGTCACACAAAGTTGCAGCAGCGCTTCCGCAACTTGCATGGATGGAATAGTGTGTTGATGACAACTCCTCCTCTGGAACTCATCAGACTGGTACCCGGTAGCCTGCTTGCCGTGGACTGTGGGCCTTTGACGCTTCCTGGGAATCTGGGCCCCGTTGGCTTGTCTGCAACCGCACTGGGCTGAGCTGAACTGGACTGGACTCGTCCTCCTAACCTACCGGACCCTACTGGACTGGTCTACCTCGGCTCCCTAAGCCACTGGACCCTTCTAGGCCTACCTAACCTACTGAACTGGGATAACTGTGAAATCTTTTTGCAAGCAAGTATGAAGCAGCTATGAAAGGAGTGTGTGTGAATTGAGTTCATGATTTTCCGATTTTGGGGATGTGTTACCTTGTCGGTATCGATTATGGGTTGTTTAGCTACTTTTCAAAACAGTAGAGCCATGAAGGGGCAGCGCAGTTTGTTGGCAGCACTGTTTGTCTTCTTTTCCTTTGACCGTTGTCAGGGTATTAGAGTCAGTTAGTGGGTTGCCCCATGCAAAAGCAGTGAAACTGCACCATCCACAAAAGCATGGTATGCCCATGCAAAAGCAGTGAAACTGTACCATCCACAAAAACATTGTATGGACAGGAGGTCTTCCTTTCTTTCATTTCTGTCCATGGTTAGTGGGTTGCCCCATGCAAAAGCAGTGAAACTGCACCATCCACAAAAGCATKGTATGCCCATGCAAAAGCAGTGAAACTGTACCATCCACAAAAACATTGTATGGACAGGAGGTCTTCCTTTCTTTCATTTCTGTCCATGGTTGTTAAGTGGACGGATGGGCGTTTTGAAGCCGTTTTCCGTTTTCTTTTTCTTTTGTCTGTGTGTCTGTGTGCGTGCGTGCGTGTTTTATGTACCCGATCGAGCTTCAATCCACAACGAATTCGCACGTTCCCATTCACGCATGCAATTGCAGAGCAGGCTCTGATACCAACTGTTATGTACCCGATTGAGCTTCAATCCACAACGAATTCACACGTTCCCATTCACGCATGCAATTGCATATCTTGTCTCCGGTTTTGTGTGGATTTGCCTCCTTCGAGTCTACTCTGCAATTGCATGCGTGAATGGGAACGTGTGAATTCGTTGTTGGATTGAAGCTCAATCGGGTACATAACACGCTGCAATTGCAATTGCATTGCGTGCGTGCGTGCATGTGTGTGTGAGAGGGGACCGGGGCAGCCACCGCCCCATCCTCGTCAGACATGCATGCATGAATGCAAGTCTGGTAAAGTGGAAAGGACCGGCCATAGAGAACTCCCGCTGTTGTTAAACACGACGGGTTTGGGGATTGATGACCTTTCATTGCCCTGCGTTATCAAACGCTGATGCCATATCAAGTTTAGCTCCCATCAAGTACCTGTGCCAGACGGCAAGCGATTTTAGACCTACTAATGCTATGGAGGGTTGTGGATGAACCTTTGTGCACGAGCACAAGAATGAACACAACACTGTTGCAGTCTCTTGGTGATGAAAGCCTCCAACATCCAATTAAAACAACCATAGTTTTTCTCTTGTGACCACCTTCTCTATCATCAACTCTGTCCTATACTACGCTGTGTCATGCTGCAGAGTCACATGCCGCTTTCACTTCTGCAGATGACCGCTTGAACAGTCTGACTGTGGTGGAGCTCTCCCTGCCAACCGCCAGGTAAGCATCCTGCAAATCTTCCCTTCGCCATGGTTACGTTTCCCCAAGGATCTCTCCTTCCAACACCACCTTCGTCTGTCTTGGCTCCGCGCTGCTGTGGCGCCAACTATCGTCTCCAGCCACCTGAACTGCTATGGCGCCGGCATTCTGCCCTGCACCCAAACTGCCGTGGCCCGGCCTCGGTCTTCTCTCACAGCGCAGCCGTTGCTGGCAGGCCCTCCACCAAAGGCTTTTTTTCTCTTAGCGGAGCTGTGATTTTCACATGCGTGGGTTACGCGCTTAATTTTTGCATTTCTTTTTTTTTTTGTGCATTTTGCAAAGCGAGTCCCCAGCCAGTGGGAACTTGGTTCATTCTTGTTTCGTTGTGGCAACTTGGCATTCAATTACTGATTTCTTGGCATTCAATTACTGATTTCTAAAGGAAAGAAGTACAGAGGTGCAAAATTTCCCAGGTACTAAATTACTTACAGAGGTATGCATACACTCTAGGAATACGTCAGGATAAACACCCATTGTGGCAACTTGGCATTCAATTACTGATTTCTAAAGGAAAGAAGTACAGAGGTGCTAATTCTTTGTTAATATATATATTTTTAATTTTTTTTTCCTTTAGGAGTTGTCTTAACTTTACAAAATGGTGGGCCTTGATTTGGTGCAGACTGGTTCAGGAGATCCTGTCAGCAGAATGATCAACTTGTTCCTGAGGTTCTTCGACATTGGGTTGGATATCACTCTTCTCTCTCAGGTAGGCTCTTCAGAGTCCAGATCATGCATGGGAGGTGCGGTGTTTTTCCGTCATGAACTACTTCTTTTGAGTAATACTATGTATAGCGAGAAGCGAAAGAAAAAATGTGGCGGTGTTTGGTTTGTCCACATCTTTCAGCGTCTAGTTTTCCCTTGTGTCAACGTTATCTCTCCCTTTTGTTTTCTTTTGGAAGAGATGCTTTGCATGTCACAGAATAGTGGAGGGGACTTGAGCTGTCGACCTGTGGGTCACTAGTTGCAGGTGAGGTCCACCCTGCCTCTCGGATGGTACTGCTTCTCCCTTTCTGAGACGTTTTCAGAATAGGGATGATAGGTAGGGAACGTGATCTAGTTGCAGGTGGGTGCAATCGCGCCTCTCGGCGGGTACTGCTCCTCCCTTTCTGAGGTTTTTTCACTATAGGGATGACAGGTAGGAAAAGCGATCTATGTGGTAGTTGAACTCAATGTCGGATTTGTTTTTCTGCGACTGGCTGAAAACAGCTGAAACTGTGATGTTGTGTCAGAGTAAGATTCACATTGGCATCAGGGCATGTTGCCTGGGCAGGCACCAGTCAGCACCGGCAAGTTTATTGGATCACTGGTGGGAAATTTCTGCACCCACCAAGATAATTTACTATTTGGGGTTGAGGGGTAGGGGGGGGTATATATAAACGGGTTCAAACCACCAGTACATCTGAAAAAGGAGATTGAGCCTCTCCAAAAAAATAGGAGGCTATTGCAATCAGACTCGTTCTCAAACACACTTTTCATGCATGTAAACAGCAACGCAGCATACTGGCGACATGCGCCCACTCAAAACTCAGAGATATGGCTTTTAGATACGAGTTCACTCTCAATTGGCTATGGCGACTTCAGCGCCCAAACATCTCACTGTTCACATACACTGGATCACCCTGGATATCCCACACGCATCACTCTTAACACTCGAGCACACACACACACTCACTACTAACTACAGCTATGGCAGCTATGGCTGCCTCTAACCTATCGCTATGCTAACTCCTCCTCTCTTGCCCACTGCGTCCTCCGGGCTCATCTGCAGACCTCCTTGCACAAGT